TTAATTTTTTTTTTTTTTATTTTAAATGAGTTTTAAACATGCACCCCAGACACTCTCCAAGTGATTTTTTTTTATTTTTTTCCAAGAGGGAAGTGTTTTTTTTTTCCACCTCACTGATATTTGATAAACACTTTTCAAACGTGCTGTAAACACTATGTAAATGTTTTAACCGCTTCCCTGCTGCCCTATAGCAGATATACTGCTACAGGGCGGCAGGGGTGCGCAAAATCACGTATATATGTGAAGTGATGCAAATGCTACAGGTTTTTTAAATGTGAACAGTTCTGCCCGTTCTCCATATTATCTATTGTGAGTGGCTTTGCTAGGCGTTCGGGGAGCAGCAAAAGTGCTCCAAGCCCCTGTTTCTAATGGTAATATGGACAGGGCCTTACGTTGCAAAACAGCACCACAATCGATTGAGAGTATTTCTTGTAACATAACCTTGTTGGAATATCTGACTGAACCCCTGCTTTGCCTGTACAGGGAGAGCAAAATTATTTTTTTTTTTTCATTCATAAAATGATAGGGATATTTAGTGATGCTCATCCTTAAATGGGACCAAAAGTAATTGGACAATTGAATATAATCATAAATAAAATGTTCATTTTTAATATTTTGTTGAGAATCCTTTACTGGCAATGACTGCCTGAAGTCTGGAACCCATGGACATTACCAAAGACTGGGTTTCCTCCTTTCTGATGCTTTGCCAGGCTCTAACTGAAGCGGCTTTGTGAATCTTTTCTGCGTTTTTTTAGTTTTTGCGTTTCAACAAGTGAAATGCATGCTCAATTGGATTGAGATCAGGTGATTGACTCGGCCATTGCAGAATATTCAACTTCTTTTCCTTCATAAGCTCCTGGGTTGTTTTTTGCAGTGTGTTTTGGATCATTGTCCATCTGTACTGTGAAGCGCCATCCAATCACCTTTGCTCCATTTGGCTGAATTGGGCTGACAGTACATATTGTGTTTGTGTGTTGTGTGTGTGTGTGTGTGTTTTGGTTTTAGGTTAGATTGTGTGTGTGTTTTGTGTGTGTGTGTGTGTGTGTTTTAGGTTTTTTTGTGTGTGTGTGTGTGTGTGTGTGTGTGTGTGTGTGTGTGTGTATATATTTATATGTATGTGTGTGTTTATTTGTATGTGTTTATTATTTATGTATGTGTGTGTGTATATGCATGTGTGTGTATATATGTATTGTATATATGTATGTTTGTATATATATGTTTGTGTGTGTGTGTGTGTGTGTGTTATATATATGTCCAAAGAAGTGTCTAAAAACACTTGAATGTGGAGAAATACAAAAAATCACGTGTAAAATAAGTGTCTGAAAAACTGAGAATTTCCACAATACCACTGCTGCTTAATTAACTTTACAAGTTGCTCAGAAGATGAAGCCTAAAAGGTAAATCGCCACCGCTGCTAGACCAAAACATAGGTCTGAGTGCTAGAATCAAAGTTTGCTCATCACACTGGCACTGCTTGTAGGGATCGTCACTTGGAAAATATCAAGATGATAAAATGCATCAGAAAAATAGCTGCTGCTTTTTATTGCTTTTTATATAGTTATGTATGGCTTTTAAGTACACTCAACAAAACAGCACTGTCTCTGTTATTACTGTTATTTATTGGCCTCGTGTCTATATGAGTTGTTCCTGCAGACATAGGTTGTATGACGTGATACTGACAGAATTCTGCATCAAGAGATTTGATTGGGTCAGCAGCCAAATGGTATCCTCTGTGCAATCCAGGCAAGCCGTGTGACAGCGTTAATAAACTTGTGCAACAAATTATAGCTGCTAGATCTTTTTATCTTCTGTTGAGTAACATCCAATAAGTGATGCCATGGATATTTTCACATTTTTGGATACTTTTATTTTTATTTCCTCATAAGTTTGTGTAGTTTTTAGATGGAATATTTTCCTGCATTTAGCATGTTTTGGGAATTTTTTTTTTCTTTGACTCATGCCCATGATGTATTGTTTTTTTTTGTTTTTTTTTAAAACTCCCCATCCCTCTGGCTACTGGGACCAAACAAAAAGCCTGTGTGAGCTCCATGCTGTGACTTAACGGTAACACAGGGATGAGGATCCTTCCTCCCCCATGTGACAGCACCATCATGATCAGGAATGAGTCACATGCTCCCCATACCTAGCAGTACCGGGTATTTTTATTCACTCCTCGCAGCTAAGTGAGCCAGAGTGGAAGCCACGGGCAGGTGGGTAAATGATGCCGGTGTAGCTGCCATTTAGGTGAACCTGTTGCTTTGCCCTGCTGTGGCAATGGCCAGGCTTGCTTTAAGAGATAATGTGACTTGACAAAAGAGGCCAGGAGTTTTAAGCACACTGGAGTTGATTTACTAAAACTGAAGAGTGAAAATTTGGTTACAGTTGTACATGGCAGCCAATCTGCTTCTAACTTCAGCTTGTTCAATTAAAGTGATACTAAATGCACACTGTTTCATTTACATTGTCTTTTATTTTGGTATGTAGATGATGGCACTGTAATTATTTTCATTAAAAAAAAAAAACAAGTACCTTTTCCTAATCGGTGTACAGCTATTACATGACCCAGCTCTTTCCCAGCCTGTCTGCAGGGAAACAGTGTCAGGAGGAGCTTCTAGTCCTCTGCTGCTTGTCACGTGTTCAAAATAAAAAAAACCGTTTACTGATAAGATCTATTTTACTCTGTATTCCAAAGGCTGTTTTTGACATATATATATTTGAAATCTAATCTTTATTATTTTGTGGGAATAACATGGGATGGGGGCAGATTTCTGCCAGTCACAGGCTGTGTCACGCCCCTCCAGCCTGTGTCTTAGAATAAAAGGGAGATGAAGCAGCCATTAATCTACATGTAATATCCCAGCCCCATTATGTTTAGCTGGTTAATGGGCATATACACATTTACCACTGTGTATACGCCCACATACATGAGCCTATAATCATAGGCTGGTCAGATATGATAGGGAAGAAATGCTCAGCATTGAAACTCACTGAAAACTGAGCATGTGCAGGGTTGCCACTACAGCTGCAAATTCCTTGGCTGTATTGGGGACATGAAGAGAAGGCGGCAATGGAGAGCAGCATGCTCAACCAGGTTTTTTGCAGAAAACAAAACTCCTAGTGACTGAGTATGAACAGCATGCAATACAGCATTTATTAATCATTTTTTTATGATGTGTGTTTAGTGACATTTTAAGCTTTTGACAAAAGTTGGAAGCAGGTTAGTTTTTATACAGAGCTGCACCAGATTTTGCACTGTCCAGTTTTAGTAAATCATCCCCACTGTGTTGTGATACAATTATCTAGACAACCCACTACCAAAAGAAAGAACTGTGGCTGAGATCAATTAAGTTTGAAATGGACAGATCTTTTCTATGGACAGATTTTTTTCTACAGAACTGAACCATGTGGTCTGTTTTTTTTTCTCCCTGTAACCTGCAATGTTTGTTCTTTTTTTTTTTTTTCATTTTTAAGAGATCATTTTTTTTTTTTTTTTACTTTAGTTTTTAGTGTAATCCTATAACTAGTCTCGCACAAAGAGAAAAGCACATTTTATAGCTTTATCAAGAGAAAGTTGCCATATTTGTGTTTTTTGCTGTAGTTGTTGGGTTGTGTTTTTAGTGCACAATTTGTTTATCGAGATACATATACATATACATATCATGTGAGCTGTCAAAAGTGTATTTATAAGATGAAATGTAAGTCCTCAAACTTGTGTACATCCCTTCAAACTGTGACAAAAAACATTACATAAATGCAAGATGTTCATGGTGCGCTTTCCATCTACAAGACAAATGCTAAATAGCACGTTGTTTGAAGCTTGCCAACTATGCTTTCTGGTTTGAAAACTGTACTTTTATTTATTTATTTTTTTGTATTTCAAGCTCCACTGGGGAGATGCTGTTAAAAGTGAAATAAAAACTAAGATATAGTAATGGTGAAGTATGTACATATTCTTTAATTTAGTTAAATTTTGGTTATTACGCAAGGGTAACCCTTAAAGTAGTGAAATCAGGTTTCTAATGCTTGAACCTACCTGTCACTTGACATTAAAAAATTCTGCTTTGTTGCTTATTGCATGTGACAGTTAGTCAGCCCAAGATTTTGTAGAAGATTGCTTTAGTGTTTTTGTGTGGCAGAATGAGGACACTTTTACATATTTAGTTAGATGACTTTTGATGCATCTCTCTATAGTTACTTTATGATATATTTTAGTTTGCAGTTTTTATTTTAGGTGACATAAAAGATGAAAAAATGAATTTGCAGTAAGTAGTTCCTGGATGCTATAGTGGACCTTTTATTGTGCCTCAGTGCACTTAAATGCTGAAATATGGTTTAACTGCTATCATTAACAGTTTATCAGAATTTTGGATGCTGTAGGTTGCTTTCATACATACATTCTGCGTGCTGCCTTTTTGGATTCGCTTTCGTACATATAGACATTTACAATTGTTTTAAACTATAAGCTGAAAAAAATAACCTGAAAAAAAATAATTACCACAATTTTTGGTACAAGTTCTTTTGCAACCCAGGTAGTAAATATCTATTAATATTCTAATTCAGAAGGGGAACTTTAATTTACCTTTTTAAAAATTAGTATGGTTGAGCTGGCAGAGATTCCCATCTGCCTCTTGAATTATTCTCAGGATGGCTTGTGCTACTGTTGGATTTGAGCTGTTTGGCAGATGTGAGCACCCATAGGCTGGGGAATGGGAAGTTGCTAATCTTTGATCTGCCTTTAGCATGTCCAGGAATTTTCTAATAAAAATTATTACAAATGGATGTTTAACATTTTTTGTTGCAATATTGGCAACATGTGTGATGTTCCTAAAGGTATTACAGAGTATATCACCATACCCAAACTTTAACTACATGGTTTCATAACTTTATAAGTCTGTGAAATAGTCTTTTGGATGCATCGGTGACCCTTTTTTTATTTGTTTTTTTTTATTCTAGGGCTTTAAGCATGGGAGGAAAGCTGAGCAAGAAGAAGAAGGGATACAATGTTAATGATGACAAATCAAAAGACAAGGACAAAAAGGCTGATGAAGCAAATACGGAAGAGAGAGGGGGCAACTAAAGCCAATGAGGAATCCCAACTTGTTGTAGAAAATGCAGATGCAAAGGAAAATAAGGATGAGAAGAATGATAAGGATTCCCAAGTGGCAGAGAATAAAACCGAGGCCAAGGAAGGAGACAAAGATGCAGCTAACAAGGAGGCTGTACAAAAAACAGAATCTGAGAAGACAGAGGCTTCTTCTGAAGCCAAGGCAGAACCTCAGAGCGCGGAACCCCCTGCATCTAAACAAGAGGAACCAGCAGCTGCAGTTTCTGCTGCACCTGCCAGTAGCGAAGCCTCTAAAGTCTCTGAACCTAGCACTGAGGCTAAGGTTTCCCAGCCTTCAGAAGCACCAGCACCAAGTAAAGTAGAGGAGAAGAGCAAGGAGGATGGGGAAGCCAAAAAGACTGAGGCTCCCTCCGCTCCAGAGGCCAAAACTGAGTCTGCTCCAGCTGCAGACTCTAAACCTAGCAGTGAGCCTGCTCCATCTTCCGTGAAGTCTCCAGAACCTGAAGCACCTAGTTCTTCTACTAAGGCCTCTGAGCCTGCAGGACCAGCTGATGAAGTTAAAGCTACTGAAACCCCAGCAGCTAATTCTGATCAAACCGTAGCAGTTCAAGAGTAAGATGGACAGCCTGTTTGAAATAACCACTTAAAACAACCTTCAGTTATGTTTTTCTTTGTTTTTGATTATTTTTTCAGCTATACTAACAAACTTGATTTAGATTTGAATTAAATACATGTAATGCCCAGAAACAATATAAAAATCCAAATAGTATTTTTGTGGGGGACAAAATGTACAAAATAAACATTCCACCAAATCTGTCAAGTAAATTAAAGAAAAAAAGTTTAGCTATATAGATGTTTGTGAGCTTTTTTTTTTTTTTTTTTGTACATCTGAGCAGCAGCTATAAAATGGAAGGTCAACGTACAGTGATATTTTTGTTTTTCCTCCTGCAATGAGATTACAGGAGAGATTTTCTCTGAATTTGCCCATAGGGCTTGTGCCAAGGCAATCAAATCTTTTTCAGAGATTTATTTTTTTTCTTTTTCATTTGCAGTCTACTATTATTTTTTTTAATGCAGTGAATAAAGGCCAAACTTTTCCAACAAAATCCCACTTTAGCTGTCTTATTCCTCTCCAGATATTTTGGGAGTAACAACATCCTCATCCTACTTAGTCTACCTAGATTTCTCATGATGAAATAATGCATGTCTGTGGTTGGGTGCACCTGTAGTTCTGTTTTATTGGTCAGTGGAAATAATAATAATTAAAAAAAAAAAGTCTGCGTTGATTTGCAGTTCCAGTTTTTCTTCCATTCTATGTCACAGACACCAACACAATTCTCATTGGAAAGCAAGTAACTATTTAAAAATAACAAAAAAAAAAGCAAAACAGAAAACAAAAAGGAAAAAAAAAAAAACAAAAAAAGGAAGATGTAAAATGGATGCATTGAAAATATATGTAATTGTATAAATGGTGCAACAGTAATAAAAGTAAAATAATTAAGAAATATATTCTTAGTTGTTTTTTTTTTATCATTTATTTTGTTTACTTTTTAACATAGCCCACATAACAATGTTGGTGGGTTTAATTTGGTACTTTTATATTGCACTTAAAAAAAACCCCCAAAACTAAGGCGAACAACATAACCTGAACAAATGGATGTTCCATTGTAAATATCAGCCCCTTTGATGCACAATTTGTGTTGTCACAATTATTTTGCAAGCTTTAAGCACATGTTCCCAGGAACTGGCTAGTTTATTATTTATTTTTTTATTTTTACAGTGTAAACTATCAATAAATGTATACTGTCAGTTGTATATACATACACACACCGCAAAAATTCTGTTTTAACCCCATCTTTCATACCTATTTATATCTGCAAGAATAGTGGAATAGGACCCAATTCAGTATTCCTAGGAGTCCTGATTACCATATATGTGTGGATACATTGTATATGTTTACCACGTAAAGTGACACAAAACTCGAAAAATATATTCAAATATGATCGCAACTCAAAATGCACTTTTGTATTCCTCTCCGCCTCCTCCTTATCTCAAAATTCCATTTTTTTTTTTTCTGCTGTGATTGGATTTCCTTTTAGAGGGTGACTGCTGTTCTCTGATTCCACAAAATGAAGGAATGTGGCCACCTTCTCTCCCTCACTCCTGAGATTGATTAGGGCCTATCTATGAGCTATGGGATTTGCGTGTGCATAGAGCAGTGCACTTGCCTGAAACATATGTGCTCTGTTCCAAACCAACAGAAGTGAGGGGAAAAAAGGGGAGGCCATGGAGGACATTACAAGGAGGCATAAAAATGAGATAAACTTTCATCTAGAATGGCTTACAGGGTTATTAAGTAGTGGATGTGTATGGATTATTTTTGAAGAATAGAGCTGGCATGTTTTATGTCCAGACCATTTTTCAGCTTTCAGTGCTATGATAGTTTTGACCAAAATCTACCCTGTCCTGCAACACTGTACCCAAATTAGTTTTATTCCATTTTTTGAAATGGATAGAGCTTTCTTTTCGTGGTCAAATATTTTTTACATGCCGCTTCTGGTGAGATCAGGCTTTATACTCTACAATCTAATCTCAGGTGCTGGCTCGGCTTGTCTTGTTTCCACCTAAGCAATCGTTTCTACCAGCAACAAGAATGCCACACACAGCTTGATGCAATAGAATATTCCTTTTTTAATAAAATAGCCAGTGGGAACGTTCTTTTTCTGACATTTTGGAATAAGCACAAGGCTTTGAGATTTTTCTGGAGTGAATTTTAAATACACACCCAGAAAAATCCCACATTGGTGGTCAATGGCCCTTTAAACCCCCCCCTCACAACTTTCATCCACTGTAGCTGGAGGATTTAATCAATGGATTCATTCAATAAATCCTCTGTCTTCCCCTACTCTGATGTGAGAGGACAGGGAGGGATCACCAATATAAACAGTACTGCGTGCATGCATACTATGAGAGAACACGCTAGTAGAGAAGAACTCACAGGTACGTCCACATACCCTAGTAAGGGCTCTGTCCAGCTTTTATCCAAATTAATTAAAACAGCCAAGCTTAAGGAGGTTAAAGTGCATGTCTGGGCAGAAAAAAAAATGTTTAGTACATCTGCAATACATGCATATTTCTTCATGTTTTGTCTCTGTATAATGCTACAAGTACAGCTAAAAGTCCTGTTGATCCTGCCAGAAATGAAGTGAGATCCTAATTTCCTGTTTGAGCTGGCAACTCTGCCTCTGCTGCAATGAAATCTCGAGAGGTGTCCATCAGCCTTGCCTGACTTCTCTCTTGGACCACACAGAATACATTACCCTGAGGTTGTAGCAGAGAGGAGGTGTGTGTGTGGTATATATCCCAGCAGTGGAGAACTGGGCACGGCAGAAAATATTGCTTGGGTTTTCAGTGCAGCAGGGGATTACCCACTTTTCCATTTAAAGTAACATTTAAAACCATTGACTTGCTAAATAGGTATAATGGAATGTGCTGAAACACACTAATCATGGCACATGCATGTCTACATTCAAATGATACAATATCATTTGTCATCTCAAATCTGCAAAAAAGTCAATGGCCAGATCAACTAATTCAAAAGTATTTGTGTGTATACTGTGTATGTATGAATGTGTGTATATAGATATATACAGTATATATATACACCAATTTTACAGCATATTTCAACAGTCAATCACTAGATCTTTATTCAGCCTAAATGAAGGTGATATACTTGAACACAATTACACAAATTGGTGTATTCATGATCTAAATTAACAAGGATGCAGATTTGTCATACTAGGGGAGCATGTAGGTAGAACTTGTCTTATTTAACACTCGGATATCTAGGCTCTAATGTTCTTCTTGCAATCGATGTGCGTATTGTCATTATACCAAGATCAATAAAGCTCTCTAGGGCCCTCAGAAGGTTATGACTTCCTATTAGTCTGAAAAGGGTTTAAAAAGATTGTAAAATTATAGTGGAATTATTGATTTCAAATCCTCAACATGCGCACAATGATTGCTGATTTTTCTAGGACTGACTGGCCCAGAAAATTTGACGCTAACAATTTGATGCTCAAAAAAGTCTCCAAGAACCACAGTATTTCATCAATGGATGTTCAGATAACACTTGCAACAGTTGGAGTCAAAATGCAAAAAAGCAAAACAAAACTTCTGGAGAACAAAAAGAACAAGACTTCAGTTTCTCATTCTACATCTAAGACCATGTATTCAGGAGCTACATGCGAAAAACTGATCAATCCAAGATATAGTTATTTGGTCACAGTAACAGTAGACATGCCTATTGCAACTTGATGACAGCATTTCAGGGAGAAAGTACCTTGAAACAACTGTGATGCATTGTGGTGGAAATGTTGTTATGGTTTGGGGTGCCTTGCGATTTTAGCATTTTGAATTGTTTTTGTTTAGGATTTTAGCAGCTAGCGGTCATCATGTCAACTATACATTCTACATCTTATCAAAGTGTGCTGAATGAAAATGGGAGGCCATCTGTCAAAAAGTTTAACTGGAAATGGTCTTTCAATACAATAACGATCCAAAGCATGCTAGGAAAAGAAAAAAAAAAGAAATGGTGGGTTATGGACTACCCTAGTCAAGACTCGAAGCCTTTTTTTTTTTTTTTTCTTTATATTTCCATTTTTAAAACAAACCGTTGCATACAAAGAAATCCACAAACATCTTGCAACTGAAGAAATTTTGCATGGGGAAGTGGTCAGATCAGTGGGCAAAATGCCTGCAAGAAGTCTTTTCTGCAAAAGAGGGAATACTGTACTTGTTTTGGATGTCAAGGGCTTCTTCTCTATTGATATTTTTGTTGTATAAATGGATGAAAAGGGAGTTTTTCTTGTTTTTATTAAATCGTATCAACTTTTATTTGTAGGTACTGTTTGAATAAAGATCTAATGTTTGCCTGTTCAAAAGTCAACTACTTCCTTGGGGGTTTACTTAATTTTTCAAAGGACAGCTAAATTAGAGTGGTGTATTTACTCATTGTGCTGCCCAAGGTACCACTAAAATTGGGCACCTACCCCCCCCCCCCCCCCCCCCCATGGGTGACAGCACAACTCTTGGCCAGGGCTGTCTATTACTGATTGGACCCTGTGCAAAACATTTCTTGCCCCCTCTCCCATGCAATATTGTTTCCCACCCCAACATCACCAAAAACAAACATGCACACAGACTTATCTAAAAAAAACTTTAGTAATGTAAACATAAAGAACAAGTCCACACTCATTTATTGCTAGAGGTTATTACACATCCTTACTGCTCAATGATTGTTTGCTAGAAGTAACTGCACATCATTGCTGCTCACTGATAGGTTGCTGATTATTACTGCTTAATGATTGGTTGCTAGAGGTTACAGCACATCATTACTCCAGACATAGTACAGGAGACGGTCAGAGACGGCAGACATACTTATGAAGATGTTTAGAGATGGCGGACATGATACAGGAGATGGTCAGAGATGGCGGACATGATCAGGGGCGGACTGACAACTCATGGGGCCCCTGGGAAATAGGGGATCATGGGGCCCCTGTGTCCTTGCCCAAACTCAAAAAAGCCTATGAAAAAGGTACCAGGGGCATCTCATGG